TTTTTTTGTGATAAATCATTGAGTTTTATAATTAAAATAATTGGTTTTATTTTGATTAAAGTTATTTTTTCAATTCCACAAAACAATTCAAATCAATCACACTTCGGGACTTTTGTAAAATTAAAAAATATATTTTAGAATATTTTGAAATATTTTGAAATAAATTTGGCAAAAAAAATTCAGAATTAGGATTAATTTAAGCGACCCCCAAAAGTCCGGATCAGGTGATCCGCGCCATAGCCACTGCATAATTTCTTAGAAAATTATCGAATCATTTACCTTCTGTATGCAGCTTTATTGTTGTGAAAATTTCTTAAATACAACAAAGCAATGTACGTACATACGTATGTAATACTCTTATTAATATATGGCTGTGGCGCGGATCACCTGATCCAGACTTTTGGGAGCGAACTCGAATTTGAGTATAAATTTGGGAAAATTAATTTGGGCAAAATTTGATTATAAATTTTTGCAAAATTAGAGTTTAATTGGACATAATATGCATAATACATACCTCCAACATGAAAAAACCAATTTTCTTACTTTTTTCCACATTTTTATAAGATAACCTTCTTATCAAAATGCATTTCGCAGAAAGTTCTCGCTCGTGCGCATCTAACAAGCTATTTTTCACGTCAGGATTTAAAAACTCCAAAAAAATCATGCGAAAGAAGATAAAATAATTTCTCATCTTTGAAGGGGTCGCGCATAACCGGGTAACGTTAGTTTTTTATGTTCTTTATATTATTCGATTCGTTAAAGCCTTGTCAACTTGTTTGTTTTAAGAAACATTGTGTGTTATGACTAAGACTTTCGGTGAAAATTTTAAAAATGTGATTTCGTCAATTTGTGTATTTATGATAAAAAATTAAATGTGACATCTCGATCGATACTGTATTATTTCGTACATAATGTTACTGTTTCGAATATAAAAAAAGGAAGAATCTGACTGTTTATATTTTAAAATTAAAAAATAGATTATATTTTACCTTTAAATCGTGTTACACGCAATTTTATGTGCTGTGCAAAAGTTACGTTTTGATGCATTATATCTATTAAAACCAAAAGAATAACTTCGAATCTTTTGTAACACGACAAAAGTTCAAAGTTATTCTCGATTATAATAAATAATATCTGATGAGCTTTAAGCTCGTTTTCAAAATATTAATAGCCAAATGGAGTAATAAAAAAAAAACATCATTAGTTAGACTTATATTAAAATTACACTTGTAAAATGAGTGTTATTATTTTCTATGATTTACTATCGCTATGGAAGAAATCATATTTAACTAATACAGAAACCACAATAATTAATAATAACATATAATTATAAAAAATGATTTTTTCTTGTTTACACTCTATTCTAATTTGATTTTTTTCCACCTTAATTTGCTTATTTTCAATTTTGATTCGATCATTTTTAATTTTATGTATAAACTTCTCCTGACGTTCAAGTATCTCAATTATCTCATCTATCTTTTCTTCTATCCTATAAATTTTTTCCCTGACAGAATTATCTTTTAATACTTTAGACAAGTATTCTGGAATGTCCTGACACAGATCATGTATGTTGGTCAATAATAAATGGTATTCTGATGATTTGGCTCTTCCCATAGCACCGCTCGAATAACCATCCTTTGCTGATGTAACGTAAATTCCGATTGTTGTTTGCTTATTGAACCTTGATATAACACTTTCAAAATCTCGGATATAATCAACTTCGACTTTGTTAGTAAGATCTTTGCATTGAAACAATAATAAGTAATGATTATAATTGCCGAGCATATCTATACCACCATCACCTCTTGATAACCTATAAAAAAAAAAAAAACTGTAAGTAATTTGTCATCATTATCGTCAATGAAAATGCTCTGGAGCCAATACAGTCATATATCCATGCATCCTATTCACCACAGACTCATGTGTAGCTTTTCGGATAACAGATAAAACAGAGAAGGATGTTCACAAGTAATTATTACTTGGCTCTTGTAACATCCCCTGTGGCCACGGTGCGCTTCTGGTTCTCTGCCTATCATATCATCCTAGTGGCAGCGTAACTTTAGATGCATAACGACTAAACAATCACTTAGTGATATAATTATCTCACCTCACCCTTTGGCAGTCAATCTTTATTTTATTTTTAACCAATCTAAAAACTTTAATTTCGAATCCGTCACCTTTAGAAAAAGAAGTAATGGAGTTATTAGAATGCTTCATTGCTAGTAAGAAAATTTTAAAATGTTCAATTTTTTTTTGAATTTTGCACTAATATATCTTATATTCATTCCCGAAATAAGCCTTATATCTCATAAAAAAATGATAAGGAATTATTTGAAAAGAAAATAAACACACACTTTCATTTACAATTTAGTAATTAAAAATCCCAGAGTAAGAAAACTCAATGTAGATCTATAACATGGTGGTGGGAAGTTTATTTAATTTTTCAAAGATCACGAGTTGTGCACACACATCAATTGAGGCTTTTATATCATATGTATTGATTTCAATATTTTTAATGTTAATTTCTCTAGTTTTAAATGGTTTATAATTTTCTATTAAACTTTAAATATAAATAATTTGACAACTTAATAATTTTGTAAAATTACAATTACTATCCATCTTTAGAATATTTTCTAATGGCTGTAATATTCTTGCTATGTAAATTAAAAAGCGGTAAGAGTTTATCATAAACTCCCGTGAGAGGAAATTTTACTTCCATAATTAGAAGGCATCTGGTATAAGCTATTTTTACATATCACAAACACCTGTTGTGAATGTGGTGACTAATCGTTTTAACCTAAAAACTAACTAAATCGACTAAACTATCTACTAAACAATCTAATATCTAGCTCCAAGACGCCCTAAGCCTTGATTTGGAAGGCGGAAAGAGGTGAGGGAAGACTTGGTCCGAGGTTCAAGGATAGTGGGTCTTACTGCGGCTTATTTGGAGTATAAAGATAAGTATCGTCTTTAGATTTGGTTATGCTTTCGTCTTATATGCTCCTAGGGTGATAAAAGAAGATTCTTATAGCCTTTAACACAATAGGGCTTCGGTATTTCGAATACAATCGTTAAGATCCCTAACGATTGTCACGTGGTCACGTGTTTAGCGAAATTGAATTGCGATTATTTGACGTAATTAGGAAACAATGATAAAATGACGAAACTGACTGTTAGAGTTTATTTGGTTTCTTATAAAAGGGATTTTCGATAATTAATCAGTACTCTCTTTCTTCTCTCTTACGAAAAATACTAGTACGATTGGGGTCAAGATTTTACAAGAAGGTGGTCTTTTATTAGGAGCGATTTTATTTTTAAGAGAAATAATTATTTTGGAGAACAACTTCTACTATAAAGGCTTCGAAATTAAGAACTCATGCGAGTTGTTTTTTTATTCAAGCGAAAAGGTAGGTCTTTTATACTTTCGACCTTTACTGCGTACATAGAACTACGCTACACTATTTTTTATACTGCTATACTATTTACAGGGCGATTATGGCTTTTGTAAATACGATTTCGTATCTTCGTTAGATACGAATTCGTATTTGCTTAGACTTCAGATACAAGATCGTATCTGCTTGGATTTTTTTTCGGTACGAATTTGTACCGGGCTTAGGTGGATACATATTTGAACCAATGTTCAAATATGTATCTGAGTATGATAATTCTATAGTTAACAGTCCTGTTCTAACTTCGACAATTTTCTATTTTTAGCTACAGGGACACTAACGAAAATAAAAAAAAGGACGAATAATAATATAAATAATAATAATAATAAAAAAAAAACATGATCTCCGGAACCCTTCACACTGTCCGTCCGTCAAAATTACGCAAAATTCCATTAATAAAAAAAATAATAATTAATTTATGGCCAAAATTAAGAATTTTGAAGATCAACCTAATTACTTTAACGCAGGCCAAGATTCCGCGCATTTTTTGTGTGGCAGCTAGGTTCAATATTGCGATTAAAGAGAATCCAACAGTCCGAGCTACATTTATCGTTAACATATTCCAACTTTGATCTGAAAGTTCTTTTCTATTACGTAATAAATAACCTTTGCACAAAGAAAATTTTATAAAACTTCGCACTAAAAAAAAAAAATAAAACAAAAATAACGAATCTTTCAAAACTAAATCATTCTTAAATGACTTAAATGTTTTCATAAGTGTTCTTCAGTAGGTAATTATTATGGTGGCTTATGCTAAGATTGGCTTATCCTGAGATTTGGGGGTCTTTGCTTAAATCTATAATATCTACTAAAACCCATCTATACCGATACTCTTTTATTAATAACAACCCTAAACCTAACCAAATTATAAAAAAAAAAAACACCCCTAAAAAGCCTCCTAAATTTTATAATTTCATAATAAAATAATTTAAGTTCTCAGCATAAGTTACCACAATTATTAATCCTAAAATTGATTCTCAAATCAAAAGAACGTGTGTAAAAATTGATTCTAATATTAAAAAAATGGTATATCACATTAAATTAACTTTAATTAAAAAAAAAATAAAGCAAACTGATTTTTGTTCGTCATAACAATAGAAATTAGCACGTCCGTAATCTGTGACAGGTTAAGCCACTGATTTCAATCACCGCCTTAAAATAATGCCTATGCATGTTTCTAAATAATGTGCATCTAGGGTTGGTAATGAAGCTCAATAGAGCTATGAATAGAGCAAATGAATACTAGTTTTTTGAGCTCCATTCACGTTAACTGTTCAACTCTATTGATTCTATTGCCAACCCAGCATGCATCCTACTTACAAACCTGTTTTTTTGAATCTTAAATAATATTAGGCTTAGCAAATTACTTTTTATTTCAAAATAACACCCATGGGCATACTCTAAATAATGCGCATATACTTTAAATAATGTGCAGATGGGTGTTATTACAAAACAATATGGTAAATGAATTTTCTATAATGAATTAAATAATTTTTAAAAAATTGGTAATATATTTTTAGTAATTTGATTAAATAGAATACAAGAATCTGCCTTATCTTACTGACAATTATTTTACTAAAAACTCATTTGACTAATATCATGCCAAGTGACAATTTACTAAAAATATATATTTGCAACTAGTCAAATGCTAAACCTAACCCTATATAATGTTGGCTAAATGAACTTTCAGTAAAATTATTGTCAGTGAAGTGAGCAGTATCAAAAGATACTAATAGCAAAAATATATGAGCCGAATAATGCGAACAAATAGTTTATGAATATTTACTATCTAATTTTATTTTATTTGCGTAATTTTGAATAACTTTATTTATTCGCATTAATCTAGTAAGTATAAAGGACGTTTATTCATCTAATTATTTCAAATAGGCTATTTTTTATGAATGCTTATTATTTAATTTAATTCTATTTATATTAATCTAAGAGATTAGTATTAGTCAAATGTCTAAAATATACTCTTCATAAATATTTACTATTTAATTTGATTTTATTTAGAAAATATCAATGGAAAGAGATACTGAGATACTGATAAAATATTACAAGTTGAAAGGGCGAACATGGCATTAATTTATTATCAAATTCATAGATATGGGATGCTAATGAAACTGATAATTGATAATTATGAAAGAGTACTTGAGTTGAGAAGGATGAACATAGGCATTTATTTATTTTCATAAATCTGCTAAGATGGGACACTAGTAGTATATAACATATTGGATAGTGTTAAGATGAAGGAATTAGAAAAAAGATGAACATAAGGCATTCATTTATTATCAAAAATTATCAGAGATGGGTAATGCTAGTGGGACAAATAATGTCAGATATTGTTATTGTCATGGAATTGGAGTTGAAAAGGATAAACATAAAGCATTCATTTATTATCAAAAATCTGTAGAGATGGGTGACACTGGTGAAACAAATAATGTTGGATATTGTTATTGTCATGAAATTGGAGTTGAAAAGGATAACATAAAGAATTCGCTTATTATCAAAAATCTGCAGAGATGAGTGACGCTAGTGGAACAAATAGTGTTGGATATTGTTATGATGAAGGAATTTGAGTTGTAAATGCTAAACATAAGGCATTCATCTATTATCAAAAATCTGCAGAGATGGTGACGCTATGAATAAATGATGCGGAATATTGCTATGAGAATGGAATTGGAATTTACAAAGATCAACATTTATTATCAAAAATTGACGGACATTGTTACTGTATAAACATGGAATTTGAGTTTACAAGGATGAACATAAGGCATATTTATTATCAAAAATTAGTAGACTAATGGAACAAATAGTGTTGGATATTGTTATGATGAAGGAGTTGGAGCTGAAAAGGCTAAACATAAGGCATTCATTTATTATCAAAAATCTGCAGAAATGGGTGACACTAGTAGAACAAATAGTGTTGGATATTGCTATGATGAAGAAATTGAAGTTGAAAAGGCTAAACATAAGGCATTCATTTATTAACGAAATTTACAGAGATAGGTGGTGCTATGGAATAAATGAGAATGAAATTGGGGTTTACAAGGATGAACATTTATTATCAAAAATTGGCAATGGGTAATGCTTGTAGAACAAATAAGTGTTAGATATTTTTGTTATGATGAAGGAAAAGACTGAGGCATTCATTTATTATCGAAAGTCTGCAGCGATGAGTAACACTATAGAATGTATGAGAATAGAATTGGAGTTTACAAGGATGAATATTTATTATCAAAAATTGGCAGAGATGGGGAGCGTTAGTGGAGCAAATAGTGCTGGATATTGTTATCAACATGGAATTTGAGTTTACAAGGATGAACATAAGGCATTCATTTATTATTAAAAGTTGGCAGAGATGGTGACGCTAGTGGAACAAATAGCGTTGGATATTGTTTGTTATGATGAAGGAATTGGAGATGAAAAGACTAAACATAAGGTATTCATTTATTATCGAAAATTTGCAGAGATGGTTACGCTATAGAATATATATGAGAATAAAATTAGATTTACAAGGATTATTAAAAATCAACAGAGATAGGGAGCGTTAATAGAACAAATAGTGTTGGATATTGTTATCATCATGGAATTCGAGTTTCCAAAGATGAACATAGGATATATTTATTATCAAAATCGGTAGAGATGAATGATGCTAGTGAAACATATAGTGTTGAATATTGTTATCGTAATGGAATTGAAATTGAAAAGGATGAACATAAGACATCTGTTTATTATAAAAATCTGCAGAGATGTGAGACGCTGATGGAAAATAATATTAGATATTGTTATCATTATGGGATTAGAATTGAAAAGGATGAACATAAAGTATTCGTTCATTATCAAAATCTACAGAGATAAGAGGCACTAAGGAAATGTAATATTAGATATTGTTATAGAAAGGAAAATTGGGGCTAGAAAGAATAAACATGAGACATTAATTTATTATCAGAATGTTAAATGTATTATGATAAAGGAATTAGAATTAAATGGATGAACATAAGCCATTCATTTATCATCAAAAATCTGCAGAGATGGGAGGTACTAAAGAAACATATAATGTTTGATATCAATATGAAAAGGGAATCAGACTTGAAAAGGATAGCATTCATTTATTTTAGGAAATCTACAGAGATGAGAAACATTAATATCGGATATTAGTATCAAAAGGGAATTGGAGTTGAAAAGGATGAATATAAGGCATTCATTTATTATCAAAAGTCGCAGAGATATCTAAATATAATCCAAAGTTTGATTTAGTTTAATAAGAGCTCTACTATTTAATTATAATTTATTATTAAAATTTTTTTATTATCGTTTTGATAAAAAAATTTTATTATTATTAAAATTTAATTACAAATTTTAAAATTATTGGAATTTTATATATTATTTTGATTATTTTAAATTAAAATAATATAATATAAAATTCTTATAATTTTGATTTTATAATTATGTTTTAACAATTTTAAATTTATCAAAATGAAATTATTTATTATTAAATATTATTATAATAAATACATATAAATATAAATTAATCTAATAATTATTTATATTAATTAAATTTAGAATATCTTGATCAAGATAAAGATGTAGATTATGAAGAAATGCTAGATAATAATATTATAGAAAGAATATCATTGTTAAATGAAAGTAATCAAAAAAAACAAAATTTCAAACCTTTAAATAATGATTTGTTGATGATTCAAGAGGATGATGATAATTCAACAATTCATGATGATGAAAGCTCTTTAAATATTTCTTTTCAAGAAATATTTAAAGCTTTTGATAAAATCTTAAAATTTTTAAAAAATCCACCTGAAAATATAGAAATATCTCAATTAGAAATTGAATCATTTAATTGTTTATATAAAAAAATAAAAAATTACAACTAGAATAAAATTAATTTTTAAGAAATATATAAGGTAAATGTTTTTAATTTAAATTATTTTATATATTATAAAAATATTATTTTTAAATTATTTTATTTAAATATATATTTATTTATATTAATAAAATTATTTTAAGCTTAAATTATAATTAAGCAATAAGATATAAATTTTAAAAAATAATTAAAGTAAATATTTTAATTTAAATTATAAAATATTATATTTATAATTTATTATATTAATTATTAATTTTTATACTATATTTAAATATGTATTTATTTATATTAATTAAGTATAATTTTAATTTAAAATTAAGCAATAAGATTTAAATTTTAAGTATAATTAAGGTAAATATTTTTAATTTAAATTATAAAATATTATTATTTTATTTAAATATATTTATATTAATTAAAAATATTTTAAGTTTAAATTATAATTAAGTAATAAGATTTAAATTTTGAGTAATAATTAAGGTAAATATTTTTAATTTATATTAAAAATATTATAAATTATATTTTATTATATTAATTATTAGCTTTTGAAACTATATTTAATATATTTTATTTGTATTAATTAAAATATTTTAAATTTAAGTTACAATTAAGCAATATAATTTAAATTTTAAAAAATAACTAAGGTACAGTAAATATTTTTAATTTAAATTATAAAATATTATTTTAGTTAAATATATTTTTATCAATTAAAAATATTTTAGATTTAAGTTATAAAAAAATAATAAGATTAAAATTTTAAGCAATAATTAAGGTAAATATTTTTAATTTAATTTTTTAACTATATTTAATTATATATTTATTTATATTAATTAAAAATATTTAAATTTAAGTTATAATTAAATAATAAGATTTAAATCTTAAAAAATAACTAAGGTAAAATATTTTAATTTAAATTATAAAATATTATTATTTTATTTAAATATATTTATATTAATTAAAAATAGTTTAAATTTAAATTATAATAATAGATAAGATTTAAATTTTAAAAAATATATAAGTAAATATTTTTAATTTAAATCATAATTATTTTAATTTATATTTTATTTTATTAATTATTAATTTTTAAATTATATATATTAAAATAATATTTTTTAAATATTATTTTATTTAAAAATTTATTTATTTATATAGTTAAAAATATTTTATATTTATAGTAAATTATAATTAAGTAATAAGATTTTAAATTCTAAAAAATATATAAGGTAAATATTTTTAATTATATTATTATAAATATTTAAAAATTTTATTGTAAAAAATATAATTTAAAAGAACTAATAATTAATTTAGTTAAAAATTTTTAATATTTTTAATAACAAAATATTATAATTTATATTTTGCTATATTAATTATTAATATTTTTAAATTATATATTTTAAAATAATATTTTTAGATATTATTTATTTTAATATATATTTATTTATATTAATTAAAAATATTTTATAGACAATTTTATAATTAAGCAATAAGATTTATATAGAAAATTAAAATATATAAAAAATTTTATAAAATTAAGATAGTAAGTAAAACAAATATATATTTTTTAAAATTAAATATAGTATTAAATAGCAAAATCTTACCTGGAAGATTTAGATAATGACGGCTCTCTAACGTTTAATCTGAGAGCTTTTAAATCTTGCGGAGCCGTGCAAGCCGGGCATATGGTGATTGCTGCAGAAGATATATCCTATGTGGTTTCATCCTCAACACCATTAGCCTCTTATAAGCCACAAACAATATTATTATCTCTACCCAACTCAACTAATCAGCCCGACACAAACTTATATTTGGACAATGAACTACTTCCAGACTCAGACCTAGATGATAACTCACAACACAGCTATAATAACCTATGTCCTGAAACCATTACACAAATAACTGAGAATTTAGGCTCTATAGACCCTCTTTCATGCTATAACAAATTTCTTTTTTATCATAGACTTCCTTCACTAAAACATCCACAAACTATCTTTACTTTTCTTCAATATATTAGACATGATTTCCCCTTATACTATTCACCAGATCTTATAAAAATTTCAATCCTCAATAACAAGAATCAGGATAATGAATATACTGAAGCATATATTTATCTTCTACACAAGCCTTACCCTCTTCCTAATCACTTTATACCTCCTTTTGCTTCCTTACTTGATTGGTTTAAATATGTTTCTCTTAAATCAAAATAACCTCTCTCTTCAACACCACTATTTAATTCAACTTATTACCCTCTTAACCTCTCTGTCTGTACTCACAATATCCGTGGTTTTAACCAACAACTCAAACAACAAGTTTGGAAAGATTATTGTCTAACCAACAACCTAGATATCATTAGCCTAACCGAAACCAAACTCGCATACAATTCATTTTACTCTAAACCATTAGCAACTCCCTCTTATACATACTTCTGGTCATGTACAAATAGCTCCAAAGCTGGTACTGCTATAATGATACGTAAACACCTTACTCCCCACATCCACAAAATTAATATACACCCCAGATATGCTATATCTATAGACCTTTTCTTTAAACATGACTTTAAATTTCGAATTATTTCTACTTATCTCCCTAGCAATAATCCTATTACTAGACTACACACTCAAAACCTTATTATTCAATGGATTCAACCAAAATCCAAAGTAAAAGCTAAATCTTAAATATAAGTCATAAGCTAATAGCTACAATTTTGTATTATAATTTTTGTATAGTATAGAAACCTATCTTGATTTGGCTAATCAACTTGATACATAAATTTCTGGAATATTTTATTAAATTAATTTCAAAATGCAAACTGAAATAGTTTCTATAATACAAACATTAGTTGAGAAAATTAAGCCATAATAATGTATAGTACGAAATAATCACTGGTGATATTGATCAGTTAATATGAGTTTATGGACAAATTATAGTTAAAATAGTTTTTTAATATTTATGATAATGATTATTCAGTTTATAATTAGAAAAGAAAGCCTGTAAATTATAATATTTTATAAATATTGGTTATATAACAATTAATAGCAAATGATTAGTTGATATGTGCTGCATAGCAGCACATTTCAGCCAACAAACATGATCATTTTGAAAATAATAAGCTCTATCTATGAAGTTGTGTTCTTGAAACTCACAAATAATTATTTAAATCAAAGAAATCTTTAGTTATTACTAATATCATTTTTTTAATAAATCTAAATTAATTTTTTAAAACAGTTTCTAAAGTAAGTGCCAAGTTGATTTTATATATTTTCTATTCATTAATTATACATCATTTTAATACAAGATTAACTATTAATTCTTTAGATTATTATTTTGATTAAATAAAACTATAAATTAAAATTTTAATTTACAAGAATAAATATACTTCTAAGCATAATGCAATTAGAGTTCGATCTATACAAACAATTTTAACACAATTTAATTTAATTAGTTGAAAGTAATGTTTTTAGAACTCAAATATCCATAATCTAGTGGATTCATAGATCTGTGAAATCTTGTATTAGGTGATTTTTAAGGAGCCAATTGCTATTCTATAAACTTTATTAATATATAAATACCATCTGCTACTATAATTTTAACAAGATTTGTTTATTGGTAAGATGAATTAAGATAAGAATCAATTTATAAGAAGCGATAAAGAAAAACTTTAAAAATTGATTATTACTTTCAAAGTCTGTTTTTAGTTATCTGTTAAAATTTTAATTTTACTTTTTATTTTTATTATTATTTAATTTAAATATCTGTGTATTAAACAAGTTTTTTCTGCTACTATATTAACTGTTATTTTTATTGGAATATTAAAAATCTTTGGTTAAATTCTCCTTGCTAAAGTTATGTAAATCTTTGAATTCATAAATTAATAAAATCAGGAAATTTCAATTATAACATGAGCCAAAAACTATTAGAACCAACAAACAGTTACAAAAAGCGATTTTAAATAAAACTATTTCTAAATCACTGTGTTTTGATATTATTGTTGATTCTTGTATTGTTATTGAAACATTAATGTCTAAATACTTTACCACAGCTAATTAACAGGTCCGCATAAGCAGATGCCAGGGATATTGAGTTTACATGTGATTATTATTGTTACACACCAATTAATACGTTTAACTTTTAGTGTTATGATTTCGTCAGTTTGATTGTATTTGTGAGAAAATTTTTTAATTCTATACAGGTAGTATTCACTCAAGTTGTATATTTGATTTTTGTGGTAAATAAGGCATAAGAATTCAAGATGCTTGAAAGGCTGGATGTTATTTATTATGCAGGGTACATCTCTGATTGAAAAGAATAGTATTGTTTCATCTTTGAAAATCGCATACAACCACATATAGTCTTTTGGAAATGTTACCCCTCAGTCTTTTTCTATAAATACATTTGTGCCTAATTCTTTTACTTGTTTTATAATTAAATTTTGTTCAATCATTTCAAGGTATGATATGTAGGCGCTCGTATTCATAGATAAGATTTCATGGTTATATCTGATTATGTTTGAGAATATATTAAAAGGTCCCATTATGAAAGAAAAGATTCCATGTCGTAAAACATTTGGATGGTAATTTATTAAGGCTTTTATTTTTGGTCGATGTTTATGTATAATAATTTTGGAAACATTTAATTCACATTTTTTCATATCTTTTTCAAGCATGGAAGTGAAGTTTGATACTTCTTCATGGCTGGGTATGATAACGTTGCTTGGATTAAAATCCAAATGACAATTAGATTCTGTAAATGTGTTAGGTCCAATTGCAATATCAAATTTATTATTTGTGTATTGAAAATCATTGTAGAGATACTTATAATAAAATGTGTGTTCTTTATTGATAAACATAACAAATGAAAATTGGTCTTTAAATGAGCGAAAGATACCGAATATAATGATAAAAAGTATGTTATCATTATAAAATTTCAACTACCATCCTTCAAAATATTGTTCTTTTGTATTTGGATGGCATTTTGCTAATTTGTGAAATTCATTCATTTTAGATTGAAAAGAATTCAAAATTTAGACCAAACCTACAGCTTTGCGTATTGCGTGTGCTTTTTCTACAGTATGAACACTACCTATAAGTCCCCCCACTGAACATAATCCCAATCCCAATTTTTAATCCAACCCCATGTGGCGTGACTGCTCTCTGAGCAAAAACCAACGAAACATAGATCACAAAAATTATTATTACAATCTTGGATCACTTGTTCAAACTGTTCGAAATATGCGGATTGCAGATCATCCGTTCAAGCTATTCAATCTATTTGATCTGTTCAAACTGTTTTTTAATTTTATTATCGTTATCATTAAAATCATAAATACATGTCTTAAAAGCTTAAATCTTATTTTGATAAATCATGATCAATAACCCCACGTAAGCTTAATAAATACATCCATTCAGCGCGACAATAGTAGTTTGATAAAAATTAAAAATAGATTTATTTATATGAATAAATGTATTTGTAACAACCTCGAATTAGCCAATAGTCCAATAGTATTTAGAGTTAAGGTTTGGATTACACGAATTTTTATTGGCCGTGCTAAGTAAGTTGTTACAAATAAGCGTGTAACATGTTGTTACAATTAGATTCGTCCTATTTATATTGTTTACATATCATTGCCTTCAAAATTATTAGAAATATGAAGGTCAACTTGGGAAGCATCTAGGGAAAATATTTAATCTTAATATAGCATAAGTAATTTTAAACAAATACCTGTAATTGCACTTGATATTTTTTGAGTGTTAATCATTTTGCTAGTGTATATAGAATTTGGATGTTTTGATGAAATAATTGGATTTTTTTTGTCTATTTTATCATCGGCAAAGAATTGCTTTTTAATTTCATCTACATCTTCATCATTTGAACCTTTCATGCTTTTATTCCATGTAACAAGTTTCTCCCAAACTTCTTCAGCATCAGGCCGTTTTTGTGGATCTAAATTCATGCATTGCTCAGCCAATTCAATATAGCAATTAGGAGTCCCAGAAGCAAATTCAGGTCGCAATCCTTCTTTACAAATTTTTACTGCAAGTTTTGTATCAAATTTACGTCCATCAAAAGGTCGTTGACCAGTCGACATTTCTACCATAATAACACCAAATCCATAAATATCTGCTGCCTGTGTAAACTGCTGCATGCCTGATAAAACTTCAGGAGCAACATAGGGCATAACTCCATAAATATTACCTCCTAGAGCATTTTCATCTATCTTTTTAGATAATCCCATATCTGCGATATAAGATCGTATACTTTTACTAATACCTTGATCTAGCAAAATATTACCACAATGAAAGTCTGCATGAATATATCCTGCATGATGAATTTCATGTAAATCAAATGCAATATCTTCAAGTAGTTTTAATTTAGTCTGCCAGGTAAGATCTTGAAATTTTGTCTTTAAAAACTGACTAAGACTTCCATTATCAGCATATTGATATACCATCAAATATTCATTTGTCTCTGGATTGTAAGTTAATCCATATATTCTAAGCCTACTACCATACATTCTACATTTCATATGATTGTTAAACTTTAAATTTAAATAAGTGAATTAATTCAATAGTGTTTTACAAATGGGCTGCCGTCAATAGAAATCAAGCAGATTAGCATTTTTAAAAAAATTAATGCTTTAACTTCACAGTTCATATCTTGATGAATTTCAAAGCTATTTTAATAATTTGATGGTCAAAAGAAAGCTTGGACTAAGCTTTTTTCTTTGGTTATTAAATCATTAAAATAACTTCAAAATTTATTGAGATATGAGCTGTGAAAGTTAAAGTATTACTTTTTTTTTTAAAATGTTAATTTGCTTGATTTCTATTGATGGCAGCCCAAATTATAATAAATAACAATTTAACTTACTTCCTTCAAAAAATCAAAAGTTTTTTTCTTAGAACTGGACAAGGTCTTAAGTGCAACAATGCTAGATTGTTCACGTGACCTCACATATTTATTGGCGAAAAAAAATTTTATGCCTCGTTTAACATCAATTTTTCGTATACCATCTAACCATGTTGCAGAAAATACAGAGCCAAATCCTCCTTCACCAATTTTTTTAATATTATTTAATCTATTTAATGGAATCCATTCAATCATACTCTCATATTTAATAGTTCTAAGTTGTAACTCTTTCATGCAATCATCAATATCCTTAATTCTACTTGTCCATCCTTGAATAGCTATATCAGGATCACATGTCTGACACCATGCTTCATGAGTGTTATCTTCCTTACAATGTGTACATTTTCTATATTTAGAATCTCTTTATAATCATCAATCGTATTATATTTTTATTTCAGTTATTTTACATTATATGATTCTTAAATTTCAATGCAAATAATTTTTATGCTCACCGACTAAATTAACATGAATAAATTATTGTTCAATGAGAAAATATTCATGAACTTGAATAGCTTATTTTAAATACATCAATTAATAAATTATCTTTATACTTACAGACTAAATTAATTGAATAAAATGAAATTAAATGATAAGTATTGTATAATGGTAAATATTCATGAATTTGAATAGCTTGCTTTAAAACATTGATTAATAAATAATCTTTAAACTAACCCGCTAGATTAATGTGAATAAAATGAAACCAAATGAGAAGTATAGTAAATATTCTTAAACTTGAATAGCTTGTTTTAAAACATTGATTAATAAATTATCTTTATACTTACCCACTAGATTAACATAAATAAAATGAAATTAAATAAGAAATATTGTGTAATGGTAAATATTTATGAACTTGAACAGCTTATTTTAAATACATTGATTAATAAATAATCTTTATACTTACGGACTAAATTAATGCGAATAATATTAAATTAAATGAGGGGTATTATGTAATAGTGAACTTGAACAGCTTATTTTAAATACATTAATTAATAAATGATCTTTATACTCACCGACTAAATTAGCGTAAATAAAATAAAATTAAATGAGATATTGTGCAATAGTGAATATTCGTAAACTTGAATAGCTTATTTTAAATATATAAATTAATAAATGTTCTTTATACTCACAGACTAAATTAATGCAAATAAAATGAAATAAATAAGAGGTATAGTGTAATTGTAAATATTCAAGAACTTGAATACTTTATACTCACCCACTAAATTATCATGAACAAAATGAGATTAGATGAAGGGTATTGTTTAATGGTAAATATTCATGAAATTTGAATAGCTTATTTTAAATACATTGATTAAAAATGATATTTATACTCACGGACTAAATTAACATGAATAGAATGAAATTAAATAAGGTATTGTGTAATAGAAAGATTCATGAACTCGAATAGCTTATTTTAAATACATCGGTTAATAAATAATCCTTATACATACCCACTAAATTAATATAAAATTATTCTAAGTTATTTTGTTTAATGGAAATATTAAGAACTGCTGCTTTTATTATGCTTACTCCCTAAAATATTAAATTGTTTTAAAAAATATTCAAAATTTTAAAATTAAACCTTTAAATATAAGGCCATATAAAATTAATTTTTGTAAACTTTCAAAAAACTTTTTTTAATGTAGTGGAATTAAAATTTTGTTATGAAGACTAAAAAATTTATTTTGTATGGCATAATGAAAAGTTAACAAATTACTTACTTTTGAAGCCAATCATAGTATTTATTTTTATCCTCTGCCACACCAATTCCGTATCTGTAACAAATGGCTGTTTTAAAAATTCCTTTAGAATTACCTGCTTTAGCTAGTTTCTTATAATATTTAAATGCTTTATACTTATCCATTTTAACCCCAATTCCTAAATAATAACAATGGCCAGCTTGATACATTCCATTAGAATTATTCATATCTGCTGATCTTTGATAATGAATGAATGCCTTATTTTCATTCTTCTCAACTCCAATTCCATATTCGTAACAATAACCAAGCCAGAATATTCCGTCTGGATCATTCATTTCTGCAGATTTTTGACAATCAATAAAATTCAGTTGATTAAAAGCATTGGATGAGCTAATATCTTTTGCTGGCTGTTCTGCAGATTGGTCATTGTAATTCTTTACAGTGTCTTCTTTATTTGACATTTAGGACGACAGAAAAGTATTTGTTGTGTGAAAAAATTACTGTAACTGTAATTGTCCGGAGCGTAGCGGAGGACTATATATTATTCAGATGTTATATGTACAAAAATTACGTTTATAAATATTATGAAAATCAAATCAGAATTTGGAATTTTTTGTATGTACCAGGAACGGTATACGAAGTACATAGGGTATGGTTTACTTGCGTGTGAAATGGTGTGTGCGATCCTTGACGTATGATTGGGTGATCCGTCATTGTGATTTTTTTGTATCACCCCAAACTGTACTTTAAAAGATCATTCGATGTTTAATATTTGTTTTTTTTTGTGTACGTCTTCATGGGTTATGTTACATCACGTGTTTATTATCTGAATTTACTTAATAGAAATTACAAATGAGCGTGCACGCCTGTAAAATCGATTATGTGTTAGTGAACTATGTTAATAATGTAATTTTTAAGCACAAAATTAGTGAGTCGATATGATTTTTAACCCCTCGATACTGAATATTTGTTATTATCCGGCAGCTTACTATGATTGTGCTGCCAAAATAACTCGAGTTATTTGGCAGTGATACGTCACCTGCCAAATTATTTGGCAGTTTATGTAATCACTGCCAAAACTCGAGTCATTTAGTACAGGAGCGACCGTCGATGTTACACGACTGACTTTTCACCCGGTGTGCAACATATAAAAAAACTATTTTACAATA